ACAACGGCGTTCTTGACAGGCTCACCAAGGTAGCTCTCGGCAACCTCCTTCATCTTACCGAGAACCATAGCGGAGACCTCTTCGGGTGTGAAGGTCTTCTCCTTGCCGTGAACCTCGACACCAACGCGGGTCTGGCCATTCTTGTTGAGAACCTTGAAGGGGAAGTGCTTGATGTCGTTCTGGACAGACTTGTCGGTGTACTTTTGACCAATGAGACGTTTCTACTCTCCAATTAGCATAATGTGTTTCGAATAGCGGGGTATGGAGAATGCGTACGATGTCGAAAATGGTTCGGTGGGGGTTGGAGGCGAACTGGTTCTTGGCGGCGTCTCCAACAAGGCGCTCCTCATCTGTGAAGGCGACCCAAGAAGGAGTAATACGGTTACCTGTAGAGGGAATTGGTTAGTTGGGAGCGTCTGCGAGCAATTGGTAGTGGCGGGGCTTACCCTGGTCGTTGGCGATGATTTCAACTTGGCCGTTCTTCATGACACCAACGCAAGAGTACGTGGTTCCCAGATCGATACCAATAACGGGGCCGGAGACGGCATTGCCGTCGTCCTTTGCGGAATCATTGTCCTTGGCGTGTGCTGTCTTAGCCAGCATCAGACCGCCGACGAGGACAAGGAGAAGGTAAAAGGCGATCGACCATGTCGAGCGCCTGCTCGCATTCCGTGAGCTGCGCGCCATTGTGAGTGTGTGTGGAGTAGGGTCTCTCGGAGACTATATGTGGCCTTGAGTGCCAGAAGCAAGTGCGGGCGTAACTCTCTTCGAGTTCGCAATGTGGTGGAGTAGACAAAGCTCTCCGGGTATCGTAAAGAAAGGAAACCAAAGGCAAGTTGGAATTGGTCCTAAGGTGAGTGAAGGGAGAAGGAGAAGAGCGGTGGAGGGCTGCTGTTATATGCACGCCCAGTCGTGGAAGTATTTAGAAAGAACACCTTGCGATCTCGAAATACTAGCTCCGGAAACGGACTAGCGCATACACTGGACCATGGCACTTTTGCCCCAGTCGCCCGCTACAGCCTCAATTTCATCCGTGTTTAATGCAACCCGTTACATGACACGTGTAATTTAGCGACAACGGCTTTCTGTGTAGCCTTTGTGAAATTGTGATATCGTAGTCTATTTGTGGTTGCGCGCCCACAGGCAGCTTGAAGCGCATTGGAATGGGCAAGTAACAGCTGCAGTGGCCCTACCGCTGGTCGTTATCTAGTGGCCGATACCCCTCCATCTAAGCGAATGCGCTCCAGTCCTCTGGCGATTCTCGATATGCTTTTTTTCCCTCTGATGAAGCGGTGGACCAGACGGCGGGTGCCTAATATCGACTCATACATTATAAACACGTCGAAATTTCCGGCTTGTTCATGGGTGATTGCCCAGGGTTTCTGTGGCGGCCAGCTCCAGGTGTCCTTTTACTCTAAATGTGGGGGGTGCTTCCAAAACAGCTAAGCCAAAATTGACACTCGACCATCTACCAATAAACAGTCACCACATTGGAGGCTCTATACTCTTCTCTACCTAAATGCAACGTTTCCCTAATGCTAACATCTAATTGCCACCTATGCGCATTGTCTAGTCATCTTAAGTGCTGCTGCTGCCTATAGAGAGGCGCACGGCATTCCTTACGGACCCTTTAGCACCCGTTCATGACATGGTGCCATTGATGAATTCCTTCGATTACTTCAACATGTTAATATGCGCCACGTAATTCACGTTGTCGCGCGTCACTATTGTGTCCATGATTCTACACGAAAGCAGTTTGTGAATATAGCATACTTGTCAACTACTACGGCTTGGCCACACACACAAATGAAGACCATCATTCTGGAAGTATCTCGACTAGTCCAGGCACTCCACAGCCTCAAATTCACTGTACAATAGCCTCTTTCGTGTTACATGTCTGCGCGACGCTGGCAGAGAAGAGCAATCTTATCCCGCTGCATGGCGCAATCCTGTCACGCTGACGCGACGAATCCGACATATTCCCTGCTTAGGTCATCAACTTTATTTCAATTACAATGTATCACTGCTGTCACAGCATGCTGTTTGCTGGCCATCACATGCTGAGTCTACGCGTCTAGAGTGCGTACTACTACCACATTTCCCACGAGCGACGACGAGTAAAACAGTAAGCGGTCAAACCCTACGTTCTGATTGGACAATACCCTGTCACTACGTCATAGACTCACGCGTCGTTACCAAACCCGGCTCTGACACTTCTGACACTGAACTTGGAATCATGTGCGACAGCACTCATTTCTATATATAGCATAGCTCAAAAGATGTATTCCGTTATCTGTCTTGGAATACATAAATGCTGTCTTGGCTCGCTTCCGTAACAGTCCTTTTTAAGCATTTTGCTAACGTGTCATTGGATACATAGATAAAAAGCACCTTGGCAACATGTCTGACAAAGCTGTGGACCCTGCGGCAAGAGACAAATATCTCCTTCAAGGTACACCCATATAGAAAACACTTCATCGCCTTAACGTGCCTAACCATACTCAGTAACCGCGGGCCCATCCTACAACCCTTCGGAGCATGAACAAGTAGCAGTAAACGGTGCCGACCCAACCTATGTCGAAAGCGACCTCTTATCTGCCTGGATACGCGTTCGTATAAAGGACTACCATGGCTTGCCTCGCGGTTCGCCAGCCTCATCGTCGTACTTCGACCACCCGCAACATACCTCGGATCGCTATTCCATCGCCTACTCTTTCATTCCCAAACAAGACATGTCTGGCTCCGACTTGGTCATGGGATTTGACTATGGCCATTCAATCAGACATCAATTGCCTCCAGGTTTCAAATACGCGATGAAAATTGCAACTAGCTTGCTCGACCCAGGCCTGTATTCCGATCCCTACTCTGACCAACCGTACCTGTACGGTCCAGCGCTATCAAGTTTCTTCGCTTTCCAGATCGGCGAAAAGACGAGCGTCATGTCTCCATCTGACCAGCTCTCCCAGCTCGAGCAAGACTCAGCCAATGTCATAGAAGAAGGCGCTTATGGAAGCGGTGCTGAGATACGTAAGACGCTCAACATGCCTTCTAAATGGAAGAAGAGGCGGAAGTTCTTTCTCGATACAAAGGCACTCGCAGATTTCACCTTCGAGAAGGACAGAATGTACCATGCAGATTTCTTCAATCCGCACTTGGATTTTGCCAATTTCGCCTTGAGGTTACCAGGCTTCTCCATCAGTGTCGCACGGTACGTGGACGAGAAGACGCATCATCTGAGATACGTCTTGCGAAACCGCAAGACGGAAGAAGCGTTGTTAGTTGTGATTTTCAGATTACTATATGGGAAGGAGTTGGAGGCTACACTGGAGCAGGAGAAGGAAAATGGGAATATGCCAGCTGCGCCTGAGACAGTGACCAGTCAGTCAGGAGAAAACAGTACAGGTCATGATGGGCAGACCAAGGCCTCTCCTGTCGAGGAAGCCGAAAGAACGACTTCGCAGTCCCCACCAGCAGGGACGGAACCCAACGTAGCCAAGCCAGAGCGACCAGAGCCTACGACGACGGAATCCTCAGCCACGGATTCTGAGCATGACGACAGAAATGGCCAGGGCTATATTGGCCAAGCATCTACTGCGATATCAAGCTTAACGAGCTCAGTAGTCGCGGTATATGCGGCATTGGGGTTTAAATACTCGTCTTCTTCAACCTCTGATTCTGAGGCATCGAACAGGAGTCGTTCCCCACAGCCGTCAGATCAATCCATGGACGCAAGGATCGACGATATGGACAATGAGACGGTGGAGAAGTTCCTGCGGGATCAGACTAGCAATGTTCGAGATGCTCCAAGGGCCAGTCATAGCCAAGATGGGTAGGCCGTGTATTCTCTCTTCCCTGCAATATACAGAATTAATGTTTGGCGTTTTTTCCATCAGACAATTGGCATGATAATATTCTCTTCGTCTTGAATGCGGCCAGCACATTTATACATCGGCGATGCGACTAAAGATGACAAATTCAAGTAATGCGGGGATGACAAGCCCGCCCCATGAAAACAACGGGGATGCCACCCGTTTGGACTTTCTTACACTATGCAGTATTAGGATCATTGTTCAACACCTGTCAGTCTCAACGTTGCGCCTCAACAATAATGTTTCCTTTGCGCAAGAGGTACAATACTTGTACAAGGCCAATGCCTCCAACTGTTGAACTGAAACCTATACTTTACAACACCTGGACACGGAAATTATGAGCAGACCCGCGGAGGCATTATTATTATAGCAAAAAAAGTCGACTCGGCCTATGATAGGAAGTCAGCCAGTGACGCTTGCCTGATGCCAGCCTAACAACGCACGTCCCACGAGCCCCACATCCATCTCGAAGATCATGAAACCCAAAAGAAGACTCCTTGACACGCGCTTTGCACCGAGCATCCGTCCGAGGGCAACAATACACGCCCTCATGACGCATTGGGCGGATCGCAATTAACGTCTACCAAGGCTGGGCTTCTTAGGCCCAAGGCTAATACTTTGCATGCGGAAAGGGAGAGCACCGGGGCTAAAACAGTCGGTGACCTCGTCAGCCTAATCGATCTGCGTTTCGGATACTCGAGCTTCCATGGCACTAACACTGCTTTGTCGCGAAAGACTGCCCCAAGCACCCTCGCAGACACGCCTGTGATTTGCGGTAGGGTACCGACTCCATCGGCGTCAGCGTTCCCGTAGGCTTGCAGTTGTCAACGTTTCCAGTCCAGAGCATCTTGAGGCACTTTTAGTGGCGCGGATTCATGCGTTGCCGAACGATGACAATCCTTCTTTAGGGCTCTGACTATCACGTTTTTTTCTTTCTCTCCGGTTGTAATCTACGTGAATAACCTTTTTTCCCCCGGATACGAATTAGCCCATCTTTCCTTCCGTACATAGTGAGCGCTGTATTCGGTCCTTCCACAAACTTTCGGTCAAGCAACCATGATAAGTACCTGTTTGGATCTCGCACTTTTGTGCCATCCTGTGCTTGCACTCCTCACAATCCAACTGTCCAAAATGCAGACGCAACAATCGTGGTGGCAGTACTTTCTGCTCAGTTTCCTGTCTTTACTCGCTATCCGCTATGCAAGCAGCGCAAGCACACCGTCGTTGAATACCACTCTCGACGCAGTTGCCACAATTACATGCCAATCAGAAGACTCGCCAAATCCAATTGCATCGACATACCCAAACAACGCCACTGGAGTCCTCAACGGCACAGTCTCAATCGTTCCTATCCCACTGGACCTCGCACGCCAACTAATTCCCTCTCAATACCGCATCTTGGAACATGCTTACCGCCACCTCCTCCCCACATTCCCAAAGGACATGTACCCTGCCGTCGTCCAAGCCGTGCACGATCACGACATCCGATTCCAAGGCTTCAATATCCCAGACTTCTCGGTAAGCTTAAATCACTCTACTATATGCCGCATCCTCCACATAACTCCCGACTAACCAACCCCCCTTAAAAAACAGCGTGCAGGAATCGAATTCCCCTTCCTCGACCTCCTAGGCGACAACTCCACATCCTTCAAATGGGTACCCTCGCTCTTAATATCCGCCGACAATGCCGCTGCCATCCAAGGAGCACAGGCTTATGGCACCACCACCTACCCTTCCACCTTTGACCCCACATGCAACTCCTACCGTGCCGTGCCCTCCGCCGCTCACCCCGGCACCACTTCCTACGGCGGCCACAGCGTCGAAGCTGGGGCCGCGTGTGCAGACACGCAATTTCACAGCACATCTCAGCAACCGTACCCGCTTAGTTTCTTCGTCAACGTCACGAATCAAATCATTTTCGCAGACGGCAAGTCCTGCGATAACATGATTCGTCTCTTCAACACGAGTTTGAGCACCGCGCCAAATCGTATTGAGAATGTTAAAGGGTCGGTAAGAGCGAAGATGGAGCCGTTCAAGACGGAGCAGGTGTGGGATGGGGTTTATGGCATTAGATTTGCATCGGCGTTTATCGAGAATAATTATCTTCCGTGTGAGAACTTTCGGGGGTACGGCGCGTAGGTTTTTCTTGCTGGAAATCCGGAAAGCCAAAGGATGAGGAGTTGATTTCGACTCGTCAGTCCCTCCCCCCTTGCTACGACATGGTTGTCGTTATGATATGAGGGAGTTCTGGGAAACATGTGTTAACTCATTTTTTTTCAAATGGTTAAAGGGAAAGTAAAAAGGGATACCCGATTTGCAGCTGTTTTTAGAGCATTGTAAATACATAGGCATACAATACCATAACATATTTCTACGTCATTTCAATTCATTGAAAAAAAAGAGAAATCTTTATATATTCTTCTACACTATCTATCAGCTGATTGTTTATTTCACACCTAGTAGACCCTTTAGTCTGAGTATCTTGCCCTGAATGATGCCTTTTAGGCCACCCACACCCGTGGCTGGCACCTCATCAACGCCCACAAAGCGCCTGACGAGCAGATTGAAAATGTTTCCAAAGCCCAATGCCATGACTGTACTGGTGAGGATGATGACGTTGTACGGCATACTGAAATCGGGGGTTGGCAGGGGAAGAAGCAACGAGGTTGTGCGGACGTAGATGCCCTTGTTATCACCGGAAGATGGAGATAACACGCGAATGACAGCAGGAGCGACATCAAAGCCTCGGTTCGCATCTGGCGGATACTCTGTGTACCGCAGAATAGCCTTTTCAAAGTCGTAGGTCAAAGTGAGCGTGGAGTCAGGTGGGATAACCATGCGTAGCTCGAGGTGAGTGCCTCGTTTACGGTCAACTGCTGGTCGGTAGTATGTCTCTTTGATGGGAGTTTGATCTGTGGTGTCGATGTGAGCGCGTAGTGTGTGCAGATACGGCTTCATGAACCAGGGCAGAGACTCGAGGTACACGACCTCGACTGCTTGTTGTTTGGATGGGTTGCGGATGACTGCCTGGATACTACCTCGCTCCTGGCCATGGCCGTTGATAGATCTTGCAGCAAAAACAAGAGGATCTGGGCGAACCAAACCTGTCTTCATCTTCTGTTCAGGGAGAGCAAGGTCAAAACTCTGGCCTGTAGGAAGCCCGAAGCACCGGAGAGTGTCTGATGCCAGCTTTCTCTCTGTGAACTGGCCTTCAGTCTTTACTTCCATGATGCGTTCCGGCGGCATATTGATACAAACATTGTGGGCATCGTCTATGTTCTCATCTATCAGCGGGCAGGCGCCCCGGAGCGGCCTTCCGAAAACTTCCTCGAGGGTCCAAGGAAGCTCAGTGCCCTTGTTAAGGGGATAGCAAGTATCATGCGCATTGTAGGGCTTGGATGTGTCGCATTCCATTTGTTCAATGGGAAGAGGCCGCGGGATCGGATTGTCTCTCGGGCGCTTCGCTCTGGCGATGTCCAGAACCATGTCCACACTCTGCTCCATCTCTATAGAGCAAGTGGAGCTACCCTCGCTACATGTAGGGCGAACATCTACAGCCATGGTCTGGAATGCAGCATCAAACAGCTTATGTCCATCAAGAAGACTGGAAACACCAGCCTTCCCCTTGCAGGGTAGCAGTTTCAAGAAGGGAGTCAAGTTCTCAGTGCAGACGACTTCGTGAGGTAGGGTGCCGTGAAGCAGGTGGAGGTTGGATGAATTGCCATGCTGACCTTCCGGGTCAAAGGACATGACGGGGCGTATGGTCTTGGTAGCATCGATGAAGTTTATCGAGGCGCAGAAGAGGCCAGACAAGGCATTGGTGAGTTTCAGCCATCTGGCAAATGCTCTGTAGACACTGTTAGCATGTGATGAATGCTGTATGCATACGACACGTACTCCTCCTCAGTCGCAGCCTCGACCCACGCCCACAGCTCGACGCCGGTGCCTCCTTCTCGCGCCCCGTTCCATGGCCGCTGTCCCCAATTGTCGGCATCCCATCTTCCAACGCTGAATCTCAGGTGCAATTCCTTGGCATGCGCATGTTGCAGGATCTGGCCAAAGGAGCGCGGGAAATAACGGAAGTTTTGTGCTTCAAAGGCAGCCACGCTTTCGTTGCTGCGGAAGTTGAAAGAGGCCAGAAGGGTGTTCTGCGGCAGGGGCCGAAGGAGGAGACGCTCACTGTAGTCGGAGCCTGCCGATACAAGTGCAATCAAGGCATTGAGCAACAGAAGGGTGAAAGACGAGAGCATGGCAGCATGGCAGCGCTCTCTACGCGGACAGGATGGTGATGGTGAGGGTAGTGGTGGTGATGAAGGGCGCCCCACGTGTGATTGGTCAGGCGCAGTCCATGTAGACCAACCCTACTTGGCATTGCCGCGGTCGCAGCGTCGCGATTTCTTTTGACCGTCACCTCACCTCGACCTCTCCTCCACATCACGATAATAGCAACTAATACTAGATAGATTGAATCATGGCTGCAGCAGAGACGCGTAGGCTGCTCGGTATGCAACACAATCAACCCCAAGAAAATATCAACCCTGACACATGATGCAGAGCAGCTCATGGGCGAACAGCTCATGAACGGAACCGACCAGCGCGCGCCCCAGCTCAGCATCACCGACCCCAAGGTCTGCCGCTCGTATTTAGTCGGCAACTGCCCGCACGATCTCTTCACCAACACCAAGAACGAACTGGGGCCCTGTCCCAAAGTCCACAATGAGGCGCTCAAGACCGAGTACCAGGAGGCTGACGCAGACCAGAAGCGCAGGTGGGGCTTCGAGTTTGACTATATGCGCGACATGCAGCATCACATTGACGCCTGTAATCGCAAGATAGATTCGGCCCAGCGCCGCCTAGAAAAGACGCCTGAAGAGATCCGGCAGACCAACGCTCTTGTCAGTAGCCTAGCCTGACCCCGTCGGGGAGTTTTGAAGGCATATGCTAACAACCTGCGCAGCTCAAAGCAATCAACGAACTCACAAAGTCTATCGAAGCCGGCATGCTGGAAATCAAGATAATGGGTGAGGAAGGCATGGTCAACATGGCCGTCCAGGAGTTCACAAAAGTCCGCTACAAGAAGGCCGAGAAGGAGGAGCGCGAGCGCGAACTACGCGCCCTTTCCGACACAGGCGGTCCTTCGGGACACCAGAAACTCCAAGTGTGCGATGTATGCGGTGCGTACCTCAGCCGTCTGGACAACGATCGTCGGTTAGCAGACCATTTCTACGGAAAGATGCATCTTGGCTACGCCCAGATGCGTAAGTCATACGAGGCGCTGTCCAAGGAGCTCAAGGACCGTGCGCCGCCTCGCAACTCTTATGCTCCCTCTGGCGGTGACATGGATCGAGGCAGTGGAGGCGGATGGGGCGGCGGTGGCGGTGGTGGTTACGGCGGAGGCGGCGGAGGCGGCGGCTACCGTGGCGGACGAGGAGGTCGTCGCGGCGGCAGAAGAGGAGGCTGGTAAAAGGAAAAACGTTGTCTCCCCTTGTGTCTTCGGCGTTAAGGTGTGTCGACTTGAGATTCCCAAAAAACTGGTGCAGCTTACCACAGTATTTTCTATTGGTTCTTGTTTTTTTGGGCAGCGATGCGAAAGAGAAGGGAACAAAGCACCAAAAACTACCGCGACTTTTAGGGTAGTTAGGGCTGTATAACAGGTTTAGCGACGTTTTACTGATGGGCCTCCCTCCCAGTGGAGCCCTGCTTGAGCTTGTCAAATCTTTTCGAATTACCTGTACGCTTCTTCTTTTTTTCCTCTCTACTCCAGATGCAAACTTGATATGCTTCTAACCGTCATTCAAGGGATCAGTTGAGCGACTGCCGGACCCTGATACTGGATGCGAAGCATGCCGTTTGTTGTGCATTGTCACAGGTGCGTGGGTTCTGTTGTCCCATCTATGGCTCTATTATCCTATGACTTGATTTCTTCGATGTGATCCAAGTGCTTGTTTACCTGTAAAATACGCAAAGGCATAAGTATCTCCTGGTGCCGTAGAAGAATTAGTAAGTCGAGACTGTAGTAATCCACCAAGCCTTTACTGCTTCAAGAACATGCAGTCGAATCACTGCTTTGCAAAATCAATCTAAAAGTACATCCCAGATATCGAAGACTTATTGCAGTATTAAAACTGGGTATACTTCAATCTTCCGAGTCCACGGAAAGAACTGTCTTCTTGACTGACTACTGCAAAATCCACTTCCGATCCAGCCATACATCCAGTTACTTCAGATAGCCCGTATCATTGGATATACACAACTATCAAGTACATCAATCTACACATCGTCCTTTGTCATTGTTAGAAAAGACCAATCTCAATCTTCCTGCATGAACATAGCTTGTAATGATTTTTGCATTCCTCCATTTTCCTATACTACGTAAGTAGAATTGGAAAAATGATATATATACATCTGCTACTTTTCCCATACACACGATTCTTCTCGATCTACCATCCAACACACTCCCCGTATGCTTTCTATTTTTTTTCTTTTCCATTATCATATATAACGTGGTTCACAAGCGAGCTGATCACCCAAGCGAGCTGATCACTTCCCACCAGCGCGTCAACGTCGATACTACAACGCGTTATGTCTCAACAACGTCAACATCTATTAACTTATCCTGAATCAGATCTTCAACTTGCTCTTTTTGATATCCGATCGCAACG